CCCCCCCCCCCCACCATTCCCCGGAGACGAAAACGCATATCCCTTTTCTCCAAAATAGAACCGAGTATTTATATATATATATTAATGTTAACACTTCTCTTTACAAAAGGAATCCAGCAGCGAGGAGGAAGAGCCGAAGCAGGAGGGGCGCAAGCCCCCTCGGAGCCTGGCTCTCTGCAAGAGAGGGGGAGCGGGCTACAGTCCCCGGCTGAGAGGGGAGGCGGGGGGGGGGGGGACGGGACCCTGCTGGCTGTTCACAGCAGTCCTAGCTCCTCTCTGGGATCCATCGTCCACGGCCTCGAAAGCGACTCTTGGTCCAATAGGGTTGGGGAAGACAATTCTGGGCATCCCCCAACCAACCCCCCCAAGGGTCAATTGCTTGAGAAGATGAATGCCGTTCACCGCCTGCAAGGATGAAAAGCATGAAAAAAATTAAATCATTTTCTTTCTCCCTCTCTTTCTTTCATTCTCCTTCCTTCCTTCTTTCCTCCCACCCTTTCTTTATCTCCCCCCTTTTTTCTTCCTTCCTTCTTTCCTTTCTCCTTCCCTTTTCTTTCATCTTCCTTCTCTTTCCTTCCTTTCTCCCTTTTCTTTTTCTTCTCCCCCCTTTTCTTTTTCCTTCCTTCTTTCCTTCCTTTCTCCTTTTCTTCTTCCCTCCCCTTTTTTCCTTCCATTCTCCCTTTTCTTTTTCTCTTCCCTCCCTTTTCTTTTTTCTCTTTCCTTTCCTTTCTCCTTCCCTTTTCTTTCTTTCATTTTCCTTCCTTCTTTCCTTTGTCCTTCCTTTTCTATTTCTCCTTCCTTCTTTTTAACTTTCTCCTTCCTTCCTTTCCTTCCTCTTCCTTTCCTCCCTCCTTCTTTTCACATACATACATACATACATACATACATACATACATATGAAAGCTGTCTATTTATCTATCTCTATTTGATTTTACAGATACTGTGACTGCAGCTAGAATTGTATTTGTGCAACAATGGAAAGGTGAAGAGATCCCAACAGATGAAAATGTGATTTAAAAAAATAATACTAATGCCAACTCATAAACCATTTCTATGCCTGTTTTAGAGTTGCCATGGGGGGAGGGGGGGAAGAGAAATTTGAAAGAGCAATGCAGCAAAAAGTGGATTCCATTCTTACCTTGCAAAGATTATAACTAAGCTACTGGGATTCCTGCCTTGCAAAGATCTCTAATTGGAATAACGTGATTGATGACTCTTGGCTATGGACTGTTTGGGTTGGAGAATATGAATTATGATACACCCAGAGGGGTGGGGGGTGGGGGAAACCAGGGTCAAGAGGGTGACAGTGAATTAAGTGTCTCAGAATCGGCTACACACAGAGGGTCATGCCGACATGTTCGCTCCTAATAAATCCTTTGAAGTTTTTGAAGCTTGGCTGGAGGCTCATGATTTCATTAGGGCAACTGCTGGAATCCTGACAGCTAGCCGATTCTGGGACACGTAAATTTACCGTCACCCTTGACCCTGGGTTTACCTTCACACATCTGGATGTACCATAATTCATATTCTCCAACAAAACACATGAATTAGGGCAACTAGAAATGTTGCAGAAATGGATAGGCTAACACTTATGATCAAGGAAAAGAAGGAAACTAAATACTTTCTGACTTGGGATTTATTTTATCAATGGCTGGCTGGAAAAAACAGGAGTGTGGTTAGCCAGCAGCAGGCGCGGACGGCTGAGGAGAGCGAGGACTCAAGATGAGGGACCACAGCCATCAGGGAGTGGACTGCTGCCTTCAGAGATTGTGGGGGCTGGCAGCAGCGATGAGGAGGTTCCCGAGGAGCCTATGCCAAGTGCGCATGTGCACAGGGTTGCTCGAAGGAAAGAGCAGCTACAACAACAGCACGGGTGACTCGGGAGTAAGGCTGCAAGGTAATGGCCCCTCCTTCAAGAAGAGAAAAGCCAGCTGTGAATCAGACGTTCTTTGCAGGAAGCAAAGACGTTTTGAAACTCCAGCCTCGTGGACATTCCAGTATCCTGAGTTTGTATTTGAAGATTCTTGTATTGCAAATTATTTCTTGTCTGTTATCTTTTGGCAAGTCTCGCACAGTTTAGCAAGGCTTGTGCTTATCACAGCTAATTATTTTGCAGGAGCATTAAAAGGTTTCTGTTCCCTTTGGATTGTGTTTGAATTGTTGGGAAAGGGCGTAGGTCAGAACAGATACAGGGAAATAGAGGGATATGATTAGTGACGTAAGAAAGGCATGCTGAATTGGTTTTAAGAAAATAATATTGTAATTATTATTATTGATACTATTATAATTAACATCAACATAACGAATAGTATTGCAAACTTTTTGATTACTATATCCTGAAAATATTTGTATCCACACAACACACTCTTCAATTGGAATTTTCATATGCTTATATAAAAATAAAAACTCAATTTTTTTTTAAAAAAAAAATCCTTCCCAGATTTTTGGCAAAACTTCCCTTCTGGAAGAGAATTTCCATGGCTGTGCTTTATTGGTTATACTCTTACTTGAGTTGGGAAGCATTGTAGGGGTCCAGCAGGTGAGAACTGGCCTGCTCCAAGTTCCAGTTGAACATCTCCAGAACTTTGTGACATTCCAGCCTCGTCTTCAGGCCCAGGCCAAAGAGCTGCTCCACCTGCAGACAAGGTGAGAAGTGAGAGAGAGGTCAGCGTGTTACAGAAAGGACAGGTAGAACGACCCACACGTTAGGAAAGAGATGTGGAGACTTTGGGGGCGGAAAAGTGCAGAGAAGAGCAGCTAAGAGGATCAAAGGCCTGGAGAGTAAAACATACCAAGAACGGTTGCAGGACCTGGGTATGGCCAGTCTAGAAAAAAGAAGGACTAGGGGGGGACATGATAGCAGCATTCCAGTATTTGAGGGTCCTCCATAAAGAAGAGGGGGGTCAACTTATTTTCCAAAACCCCTGAGGGCGGGATAAGAAACAATGGATGGAAACTAATCCAGGAGAGAAGCAACCTGGAATTAAGAAGAAACTTCCGAACAATGAGGACAATTAAACAGTGGAACTGCTTGCCCACCAGAAGTTGTGGCTGCTCCATCCCTGGAGGTTTTTAAGAAGGGACTGGGAGGTCACCTATCTGAAATGGTCTAGGGTCTCCTGCTTGGTCCCTTCTTCCAGCTCTATTCTGATTGAGACGGTTGAGGAAGAGGCCAGGTTAGCAGAGCAACCTCCTGGAGGTGCAGAACGGCAACCTGCCATTGGTGCGAAGGGACAAAGAACCGTAGGGTTGGGAGGGACTTCAGAGGTCTTCTAGTCCAACCCCCTGCTCAAGCAGGAGACCCTATATGCCATTCCCCTGCACAAATTGTTGTCCACTTTTGAAAACCTCCAGGGATGGAGCAGCCACAACTTCTGGTGGCAAGCAGTTCCACTGGTGAATTTGTCCTCACGGTTAGGAAATTCCTCCTTGGTTCCAGGTTGGATCTCCCTTCTGAAGAGCTTCCATCCAAGTTGCTTCTTGTCCTGCATTCAAACTGCTTTTTTTTAAATGACTTTTTTTAAAAAACACCATGAACTGCCATTTACTTTCCTGGCAAAAAGAAAAAAACACACATTGGATTAATGAGCAGGGTGTTTCCTTAATGAACACACATTCTTGCTGAAGGATCGTAGTGATTTGCTTAATGACCTCTCACAAAAAGAGAAGGGCTGCTTAAAATTTCATGACCCAACTAGGGAACATCACCTGCGCTAGAAGGAAATGTATAAAAAAATAGAGAAAGCAACTTTTTTAAAGCATTGATGAGGTTCCCTAGTTGGGTCATGAAAGGTCTGCAGGAAAACAAACAAGCTCAGAGAGCACCAGACCCTTCCTTTTCCTCTTCAAACCCCACTCCCTCCTAACACTGATGCTGTTATCTAGTTGGGTCCTGAAATGTCTGCAAAAAAACAACCAAGTTCCAAGAGCACCAAAGACTCTACAGCCATTTCCTTCCTTCCTTCCTTCCTTCCTTCCTTCCTTCCTTCCTTCCTTCCTTCCT